AAAACTGTGTTTTACCTGCCGCTAGATGATGATGATAAGTCACGTATTTATTTTTCGGTGTCATTTTCCGTGCTCTCTTTTCTATGAGAGAGCTCGCGAGAGATCTCAGGTGAAGGAAGCAGCACGTCGCCGCTGTCTTAATGGATTTTTGATTTATGCAACATTTAGATGACAGCGTTTGGCTTTGATGCGGAGGGGAGGGGGGGGGCTGTTGCTCTCACTCTTCTTCAACGGAGCTAAATTCCATTAGCAGGTAAAAGCCCATCGCGGATGCGTACGGCGCGATAAACGGCCCGGGTTGTTTTGTTTCGTGCGGTGTAATGTACGCGCCGTGTCAAGAACTTTTTTATTTGTCTTCTTGCTCGAGAAAAGTGATACGCCGCTGCTTTTATTGTTTTTGTATTCACGCAGGGCAAAATGGATAATGCTAAAACAAAACAACAACCCCCCCCCAAAAATGTGATAACCGCAGTGAATTGTGCTCTTATCAGGAGACATACTTTGAAAGGAAAATGGAGGCCGCCTAGTAAAGATCATGCTCAGCTTGTTTTTGGATTCCAGGGAAGGCGAGCGTGTCTTCCGTAGCTTTCTGCCCGGGTGTCACTCAACACTGAGTGGCCATAAAATTAGGTACACCGCACAGTTTAGTGCTGCTCAAATGGTCCTGAACGCTTTAATACTGTTCCACGGCAGTCCTGGAGGTGGCGTTAATCTGCCTTAAAGTGGGCATCAGCTGGCAGGCGTGCACAGAGCTCCGTCTGCTGGATCTGGTAATTACCCCCCCCCCCCCCCCCCACCCACCCCCCCCCCCCCCCCCCACTCCCCCTCCCCCCAAAAAAAAAAAAAGCAAGGGTCAAAGTAAAAAAAAAGAACCGAAGTGATGAAACTCACACGGCAATGAACCGACACAGCCTGAAAGTAAGCAGGAAACTAAATACAAACAAATTGACAAGACAACGAGGCACATCTGGACAAGACACGAGGGGCTGGAGGGAGCTGATTGGTAGACACGAAGAAAAGAGCCCGACAAGAACAGATGGAGACAAAAACCAAATGAGCAGACAAGACATAAACAAGGCACACAGGAGACGAAGACATAACATGAAACAAAATAAAATCGATTCAAAAGTTCACAAACACAGGTCATGACCAAATCAAAATAAAATTAAACTATAAAGCTATAAAAAAATACAAAATACATAAATAAAATTACAAAGAAAAAACAATTATAACAAAATATTAAACACTAAATCCAAAATTACATCATGAAGAAATAAATAAATAAAATAAACTCACCGCAAAATACAAAAGTAAAATTAACAAATAAATTATTTTTTAAAAAATACTGTGAAATAAGTACATTGAAAAAAATATACAAAATTAATAAATACTAAAACACAAAAGTAAATGCCTGCAGAAATAAAATATACAACTAAAAATCAAGCATACAAAATAAAGATATGATCAAAATATTAAATAAATATTACATTTAAAAACAATGAATAAATACATAAATAACAAAAACCAAAAAAATGAACAGCCAACCGACTAATTAATAGGAAGATCACAGGTGAAAAAAAGAATACCAGATTTCAATGAAGTGCTAAGAGTACATCGAATAATATATATCGTTTACCAAGATGTCTGTGGTATTACTGATTTTAATAAAATGAACCGAGTACTTTCAGGTGTGGGCAGGCCCGTCTGTAGCTCTGTAAAATGCTCACACAATGTTCCCATCTAGCTAACATTGAAGATGTGATGAAATTTGCTATTTTTCTGTCTTGCACCAAGCCTGGAAAAAAAAAAGAAAAAAGAAACAATCTTTCATTTCCGTCATGCCAGGAGAAGAACAGTGTTAAGAGTGGGGGAGAAAGAAAGACGAAGTTCCACCCAAGTCTCGAAGGTCATCGCAAACTTTGTGAGCCTTTAAGTGTACCTCTGGTGTGCCGTATTCTCCTTTTTTACAGCAGCGTAATGAATGTGCATCTGTGCTATCCGCGGCTATTGTGTTGTTGCATTCTGGGGAGGAAGACAAAACACTTGTTTGCTTTGTGCCGAGCAGAGTGAATCAAAACACTTCCGGACCTGCGACGGAACAACAAATCGACGGAATCGTGCTCGCTTCCGCCGTGTTCATTTCACGGGTGTAATGAGCCGTCGCTTTTGTTGCGTTTATACGTGACAAATTACGTAGTGGCTGGCGGCGGCCCAAGTCAATCACGGCCGACGCCAGCTGTGTTTCTTGGCGACAGGAAGGTAATTAAACCGACCTGAGAGATGGAGGTGTGTTTCATCAACACCTCGCAACCACAATACCACCACCGCCTTGATAAACAGCCAGTGAAAACAGCTGACTGCCTCTGAGCTAGCTATTCTCTTGTTCGCCTTTTTTGGACCGTTATTGTCACATTTAGGCTATAGTGTACTATGTACGCTTCAGGCTATATTCTAGAACAGAATGATCAAGTTTAGATCAGTATTCAAGAATAAATGACACATTTTTGACTCATTCAAAAAGAGGAATGGCTCACTTGATGCTATATTCCAGATCAGAATGGTCCTGTCCTGTCATGATGTATTATGGGAAATAAATGGTCCCGTTTCAGCTACATTATAAAATGGAATGGTTGACTTTATTCTTTATTCCAGATCAGAATGGCCCAGTTTAGACTATGTTCCTGTCCAGAATGGTCTACTTTAGCCTCATTTTATTCCACATTCTAGGACAGAAAGGTCCTGTGAGGCTTTATTCCAGTTTAGGACATAAGTCAAAACGGAATGGTCTGCTTAAGGCTACACTGCACAACAGAATGGTCAAGTTCAGGCCGTACTCCAGAACAGAATGGTTTATAAGTAGTTTAGGCTGACTTAATGTCACAGTCCAGAACAAAATAGTCCTCTTTGGCTGAATCCAAGAAGCGAACGGTCCAGTTTTAGGGGATATTTTAAAATCGAATGGTATAGTTTAGGCTACGTTTCAGAATACAATCGTCAAGTTTAGGCCACATTTCAGGACAGTCCAGTCTAGTTTAGGCTCACTTTATGCTACAGTCTAGATCCAAATGGTCTTATTAGGGTGTATTCCATAAATAGCAGTCCAGATTAGGCTGCCTGCCAAAATGCAACTGTCCAATTTTGGTTGTGTTGGACAATGGAAAAGTCGATCGGTACATTCCAAACTGGAAGGATTCACTTCAGCTATATACAATGATAGTCCACTTTAGGCAACATTTCAGAAAGGGACCAGTAATTCAGGCTGCATGGTCGACTTTATCGGTAGTGTTCGTAGTCACATCGTTGTGGTCATCACATGGATGTGACAGTTAGTACTGATCGTCAATACACTAATACGATCTGTAGCATTAGCCGTCACACTGACGTGATCAGTCGAGTTGAGTCAGGAGCATGACTCATCGCATCGACTGGTTAGTTGAGTTTGCCGTCACATTGATATGGTCAGTCGGGTTAATTGTCATATCGACCTGGTCAAACACGTTAGCAGTGCAGAACAATTTGTCATGTAATGTCATCTGTCCACAATTTTGGGACCTTTGACCTTTCAATCGCAAAGTCGTACAACCCCGATACTTGGTTCAAACAAGCAGCAAGGCGTCTTCGCGTCGTCTCTGTCCTGCACTGTCCACACTTGAACATATTGACATTTGTGAGGTGCTTGGTAGTAATTGTCAACCACATGGAGACTACCTCATTTGTTTCCATGACATTTCGCCTTTGCCTGATTGTCTGTTTAACGCGGGCGAAAGCAAAATTAATTGGAGTGCGGCCCTAATCTGTCCGCTGGAAATGTCACCCCTTTATTGTGACGCTGTCGTCGACATGTAGGCCACACAAGAATGGGAGAAAATTAAGAGAAATGCAAAATTACGGGGAAGGAACAAAAAAAAAAAAATGATGTGTGAAGATTGTGACCTTTGTGGCAAACGTTCCATCGTTGTCCGCTTTATTTTTAACTGAAATGTTCAACATGTTAATTGCTGACATTTGCGCTTGGGATTTTCTGATTAAAGTTCTGAACTCAACACTAGTCCTACTCATTTAACATAGAATGTGACAACACTCATATCATGTAATGCGGCCTAAATTGAATCATTCAGCTCTGGTGTCTAACCGAAACTCAAATTATTTTTTTTTTCTGGACTATTCCTAAAGCGTACCATTCCATTTTACATGATGCTCTAAATTTAAACCCTCTTTTTCTGAAATACACCCTGAATGAGAGAGACCATTTGCTCCCGGAATAAACAATAGCCAAAAATGGACCATTCCATTTCGAGAATAGATCCTAAAGTGTGAAACATTATGTTGTATAACCTACTGGAGCTGAACCATTACATTCTAGGAACTAAAGTAAGCAATTCCATTCAACAATAAAGGTCAAACTTAACAATTCCCTTTTGGGATGTACTATAGTCTACACTGCATCACCATTCTGTCCTGGAATAAAGTAAAAGATGCATTATTTTTGCTTCACAGTATTGGTGGCAAAAAAAAGGGGTTCCCGGAGTATCTAATTTTCTATCTTTGGACACTTGGAGACTGTCAGTGTGTAAAAACATACTTGGAACAGGGTGTAGGCAATGCGCCACATGCTGCATCACCAAAGCAAAATAGATTATAATCTGTTCATGTGTGGCAGCCCGCTCTGCTCTTTCAGTCCGTTTTTTTCTTTTTATTTTTTATGATCTCTCTCGTCTTGCCGCAACTGTCACAAGGTCAGAATCCGGTGTGCACTATGAATTAGTTTTATGTTTCCTGACACCAAATCCACCCGAGATCATTGATGCCGCCTTCCCACAATCCTCCACGACAACAAGTTGCTCTCTTCGGCGCTGTCACTCATCTCCAAGTCTGGCTTTAAATCATCCAAGTGTGTCATTTTATCAGCTGCCGTGTGTGTCTTTTTTTTTTTTTTTTTTTAATGTACGTGTATGAAATTGGAAATAAGACACAGTGGCAGCAGATTGAAAACAAAAAAAATATCTATATATTTTATTCAAAAGTACAAATCACCACACAAGCTTTGATTGAAAAAAAATTATATATTAAGAATCTATTCTTTAAATACTCAACGGCCCAACCTCACCACTTTTTTCTGATAGCAAACATGCTGGATGGACAATTACATTTGGCGTGGGTGAAGCAATAGATCCCTCGCAAGATGTCGAAGGACCCCGGGGGGAGTCAATGTAGTCAAGTTGGGTCAGGATCGGAGATTCTGGGGAGAAAGACAAATGCAAAAAAAAAAAAAATTGCCCATTGCTTCATTTTACAATTTTCATTTTGAGTGATACGTAACACGTTTGCAGTAAAAAAAAAGTCTCATTTAAGTCATGTTTTGTCCCACGGTGTCCCTTATTGTATCGTTATGCCTCATTACTTCCCATCGTGTCCTATTTTGTACCACCCTATCCCTTTATGTTCCCCTTTGTTCCTTAGTGTCTTAAAATGTCCCTATTGTGTCTCATCATGTTGCATTATGTCTTATAGTGTCCCAAAATGTCCCCTATTGCATCTCACAGTGTCCTTTATTGTTGAATTATCTTCAGATGTTGCCCTTTGTTGTGTCTCATCATGAGTCATAATGTCCCATTGGGCCTGATTAACTCGGAACTCAAATAGTGAGCACTAAATTGTGAGTTCACTCATTAAAAAAAAAAAAAAAAAATGTGGGTGTATTTGGAGACAGGTGCAAAAGTGGTGGAGAGCATATTTAAAAGAGGGCTTGGCGATTCTGCAGAACATTGGGACACTCCAATTTTCAATTCGTCCCCTGCAAAAACTGACCATGACTTTCAATATGGGGCTATCGTGGGAATGTAGCCAAAACTATACTAGACTGTTCCAAAGTACCGTATAACATTTTCTGTTCTGTCCCAGAATGGATCATTCTGCACTGAAATGTAAGATAAACTGGACTGTATTCTCAGAATGGAATACAGAATTGAAATTCCATTTTGGAACTTCAGCTAATGATTCTTTTCTGGTGTACAATACGACTTTATGTTACTCTGTAACATGGCTTAATATGACCATTTTCTCCTCAACTCGACCATTTCATTCTTGAATTCAGCCCAAAATTGAGCATTGCTTTCAGGAATATATTTTGAACTGGACCGTTCCATTCTGGATTACGGTCCAGAAGTGAGAAGTCCATTTTGTGACAGTGACTAATCTGGCTATTCTCTTCTGGTATATAAATCATAAATGGTGCCATTGCATTCTCGAACCGTCAAATGAAACATTTTCTTTCGGAACACTGTTTATCCTGAACTGGATCATTCCATTCATGGAATACAGTCTAAAATGGATTGATTCCATTTGAGAGTGTGAGCTAACCTGGACCACCGTGTTCTCTAATTTATCTGAAATTGAACCTCTCGGAACTGGAATTTCCCCTAAAGTGGACCATTCTATTCTGACATGTAGCCTAATCTTGTCTGGCATGTTTCAAAATAAAGTTTATGCTACTCTGCTCAGAAAAATGTGGGTGGCAAGAATGTCGAGTTTTCCCCTTCCCTTGACCCTCAGAACCGGAAAACACTTTTAATTGGCCTATGGCTGTGCCTCTTGATCACAAACACACAACTGTGTCCATTCACTTGAAAGAGAAAGTACAACACGCGGCAAATGCGCCCACGCTACTTCCCCAAGTCTAGCAGCATTATTATCTGATCATGCGCTTCGTTGCCTCAGGTTATTTTTTTGTCCAACTGTGCTCTGAGTAGCAGTCAATTGTTGTAGTGTGAGGGGAAGCTAGCAGAAGAAAAACAGCCAATATCGGACACTTACACACAAAGAAGCGAAGGCACATTCCGCACATGGCGACGACGCTCGAGATCTGCAGCGCCCGGCCGCATTCGGGGCTCATGAGGCAGTTGCGTGTCTTCAGGCAGCATTTGGGGCACTTGCTGTCTCCGTCACGGTCGCGGTCGTGTCTGCTTTCGGTCACCTCGGCCCTCTGAGGCTGAGCCTGGTACGTCTGTGGCTGAGCTTGGTACATCTGTGGCTGAGCTTGGTACATCTGCGGCTGAACCTGGTACATCTGTGGTTGGGCCTGGTACACCTGAGGTTGAACCTGATACATCTGAGGTTGAACCTGGTACATCTGAGGTTGTTGAACCTGGTACACCTGAGGCTGAGCGTAATACATCTGAGGCTGACCTTCGTAGGGAGGCGGCTTGGCGTCCAATTCCTCCTCCTCGCTGGGAACGACAGACATGGCGTGGATAACGGGGGGGGGCAAGTGAGGCGATGGTGCGTCAAAAGTCTGAAAGAGAAAAATAGGAGGGTGGTTAGCTTGTTCTTGAACTTCTACATAAAAAAACAAAAACAACCCCCCAAAAAAAACTATAAAAATAAAAATTCTGACACAACTATGACTTGATGCTTGGAGTCCAGACAATATTTGTCATAATAATGCAATTTTTATTTCCAAAGAGGTTGAATTTTTTTTTCTCCAAAGATAATTTCAGTAAGACTTTATCTTGCAGCATTTTGACATTGTTCTCTGGTTGCCACTTTAAGAAATGCTTGACAAAAAAAAAAAAAAAAAAATTCTCTATCGTCACATTGCAACGTTTCCTCATAGCACCACACTTTAGTTTCCTGAAGACTTCTACTGTTCGAAAAATACAACAAATGTGATCTTTTTTCCCCTCTCTTCAAACTAAGACCTCAGTTTTGTATCACAATTTCATAAAAATGTTTTCTCTCGCAATGCTACAAAATAATTTTGAACGGTTGCCAACTCAAAAATGTTCTCAGAAGATTCAATCTTTTTTCTAAAAAAAAAAAAAAAATCTTTTTCTTCTCACAGTATGACAACTATTCTTGAAATTCAACATATCTTTCAACTGAACAAAACATTTTTTTCAGACTATCACAACTTATTTTCTTGTAAAACCCCTATACCTACCCCCCGACACCCGCATAATACCACGATGCGCGGGTTGCAATCCCCAAAAAGTTTTTCTCAAAACATCAACTTTTTTTCTCATAACGCTATGACTATACTTCAACTGCAACTTAAAAGAAAAATATTTCACCTCACAATGCTGAGCTTATTCTCAGATTGCAAAAAAAAAAATTCTCCCAAAATTTCCGTTTTCTTTTTTTCCTTTACCCTAACGTGAAAGGACATAGTTTCCACACCCCGCGATTGACAGTACCCATGTGTCATCGTGTTGTTGTTTTGTTTTCGAATTGTTCACATGGGCGTGTTTGTTTTATCACGCCACCATCTTATATTTCCCGTTGCAATCTTTAAATAAGTGCAGTTCAACTCGCCGGGTATTTTACACCTTTTGAGAGCGTATCATGAACATTTTAGGCTCCTTTTTATGAACACATCAGCCAGCGAAGTCAGATTGATTCTTCCACACTGATGAACATTCCTTTAACTTCTCCCCCGTGACAGACCACGAGCGCATATTCCGCGATAACCCGGATTTGGAAATAATAACATTTTATGCGCAAGGGGACCGGAGGGGAGGGGTACCACATTTGTTCCAGTCGAGGTTAAATTCGATTGTCGAGATCCACGGGGGGGGGGAACGGCGGCATTTAAGTGCACCTCCTCCCCGCTTTGGAAAGTTGGCGGCTTTTCAATCATAAGTAATGAAATTCCATCAGGCTCCCTGGGACGAAGCGAGGGAAAAGGCCCATTAGAAGAAGGAGGGAAAAGGAAATTGTGCTCTTACTCTTTGCGTTCTGTCGCTTTCAATCTCTTCTCTCAATACCGCCAACACTCGACTCTTGGACTGTTCGCGTTACATCTGGGGCAGAGCGGGCGTGTCAGCGAGTCTTACAGGTTTTCCAGGTGATACTCAGGTTGGGTGTCTTAAAGGCGCAGTTACATAATCAGTCGGCGCAAGACACAACGTGTCCGGCCCAAGACAAAAGGACAGCGCGCCAATTATTTTGCTCTGATTTCACTCGCTATGCTATGAAAATAATAAACTGTAATTACAAGGTACTCTTGTTCATCTCGACTCCTTTATTTTCATTTTTTATTTTTTTCCATCATATTACGCAGGTGGCCCGGTGGTCCAGCGGTTAGGGCGTCGACCTCACAGTGGGTTTTCTCCGGGTACTCCGGTTTCCTCCCGCATTCCAAAAACATAGATGGCAGGCTGATTGAACACTCTAAATTGTCCCTAGGTGTGAGTGTGAGCACGATGGTTGCTCGTTTAAGTGTGCCCTGCGATTGGCTGGCGACCAGTTCGGGGTGCACCCCGCCTACTGCCTGAAGCACCCTTGTGAGGATAAAGCGGATCAGAAAAGGGATGGATGGATGTTTCTCACGTGATTTATTTTTTATTTTTTTCCATAATATTACACAGGTGGCCCGGTGGTCCAGCGGTTAGGGCGTCGACCTCACAGTGGGTTTTCTCCGGGTACTCCGGTTTCCTCCCGCATTCCAAAAACATGGATGGCAGGCTGATTGAACACTCTAAATTGTCCCTAGGTGTGAGTGTGAGCACGATGGTTGCTCGTTTAAGTGTGCCCTGCGATTGGCTGGCGACCAGTTCGGGGTGCACCCCGCCTACTGCCTGAAGCACCCTTGTGAGGATAAAGCGGATCAGAAAAGGGATGGATGGATGTTTCTCACGTGATATCAACAACTTTCCCCCCTGTAGCAGTAGCCGGAGACCAATCACATAATGATGAAACCTTTTTTTTTTTAATAACTGAATGACTGAACATGACAAAAATAATATACACGTGTGTGCCGTGTTGGTTTTAAATCAAGCGCTTCCTTGCCGGTGACGGGAACATTTTTATTGATATTGTTTAGTGACGGCGATAAAGAACACTGGCGTCCTACCGTGTTATTAATTTGCCACTCCCAGTTCGGGGTGCACCCCGCCTACTGCCTGAAGCACCCTTGTGAGGATAAAGCGGATCAGAAAAGGGATGGATGGATGTTTCTCACGTGATATCAACAACTTTCCCCCCTGTAGCAGCAGCCGGAGACCAATCACATAATGATGAAAACTCTTTTTAATAACTGAATGACTGAATATGACAAAAATAATATGCACGTGTGCACCGTGTTGGTTTTAAATCAAGCGCTTCCATGCCGGTGACGGGAACATTTTTATTGATATTGTTTAGTGACGGCGAAAAAGAACACTGGCGTCCTACCGTGTTATTAATTTGCCACTCCCCTCATTTAAAGTTTCGTCCAAAGTCATTTCAGGCCCTATGACGCATTGTGATGAGAGTCACAAGCGTGCGGTTTCGCTTTTTGTCAGCTGCATCCAGAAAATGTCACAGAGGTGACAGCAGCCGCGATATTAGGCAAGAGAGTATTTTGCATGCTGCTCAGCTGCTGGAAAAAAAAAAAGGGTGCCAGAAAAGTTCCAGGACTGATGTCACAAAAGATATATTCAAGATTCGAACCGTAAACGAAACATTACTTTTCCACACTGTATTGTATTGGATAAGTCCTTTACGACTTCTCATTTTGAGTCGCCGCCATTAAAAAAAAAAAAAAGTTCTTGCTCGCAACTGTGGCTGACAAACACATGGCATGTGAAGATGGAAGGCAGGCTCTTTTGTCGTGTGGTGCGGTGTTCACTGCGCGCACATACACACATACACACACACACACACACAAAAGCTTTAAGACGACAGGTGCGCTATCAAGCAGAATAATTCATCGTTTTCTTCCTCCTACTTCTCTGTGTGTGTGTGTGTGTGTGTGTGTGTGTGTGTGTGTGTGTGTGTGTGTGTGTGTGTGTGCATGCTCGCGCGCGCACGCGCTCAGAGAGTGCATCTCGGGTTTGGCAGATCTGACTAAAGATGGACCGCCTGTCGCGTTTGTGCCAGATAAGGGAAGATGTTGTCTGCATGGGCAGCAGTGTGACACCAGCGATAACGACGACCACAAAAAAAAAAAAAAAAAAAGCGAACGGAGATAACGATGAATGTCATATGAGTAGAGATTATGCCGTATCCGCGTTTGCCACTAAATGCCGCATTTTATTTGGATTTTGATGACTCCTGCATGTGACGCGGAAGCACTCTGACTCTCTTTCTATTGTGCAGTCACAAACGCAACATAGGCACCGTGTTTCCAGCTTGAAAACATCCGCACTTCCTTCATTTGTATGCACGCGTGAGACGTCGACTTCACAGTGCAGAGGTGCAGGGTTCCATTCCGGTTCCGGCCTCCCTGTGTGGAGTTTGCATGTTCTGCCTGTGTGGGTTTTCTCCGGGTATTCCGGTTTCCTTCCACATTCCAAAAACATGCATGAGAGGCTGATTGAACACTCAAAATTGTCCCTAGATGTGAGTGTGAGCACGATGGTTGTTCGTCTAAGCACACCCGTGATTGGCTGTCGACCAGTTCAGGGTGTCCCGCGCCTACTGCCCGAAGACGGCCGGGATAGGCTCCAGCACCCCCAGCGACACCGAAAATGGATGGATGGATCAATGACACGCACCTCATGCTCCTCACTTCTGCATCCTAGTTGCACTCGTCCACACATGCTACAGTTGTACAATTTGCCAGCTTGACGTCGCAAAGTCATGCATTAAGTCTTTGACTAGTAACTTTAATCAGACCACTGTATTAGATGGAGTAATGCGTGAGATTACTAGTTCCTCAAATTGGCAGGCAGTGAGGAACGCATTGCATAGCAACAAGTCACCGGCATCACTGGTGACGATTATCCTGAATAACTGGCTAGACGAAGCATTGTATGAATCAATACATCAGGAATAGTGCACCTGTGCCCATGTATTAACTTTTTTATTATTCTTATTTTTTTTAATATTGTTTAATATAACTTGAAACTGCAATGAAAAATGATGGCTCATGAACGATGTCCTGCGACATGATCATTTTGCTCCTGTGTCAATCAGCGAACAAATATTTCTTCATATGAGTGCACTTTTTTTTTTTAATATATATCATACGCATGTTCAATTACATTTATAGAATTCAAAGCCGGGGTCTGCTGTGCTGTGTCAGCTTAATTGAAAAACATCTCAGATTAGCTTTAATGCGTTTCTGTCAGAGAGGCTCAGATGTTTATTAAAACCGAAATCGCTTTTATTACAATACACGCTACATTCCCTTTTGTCTCCTAATTGACTCACACATTTTTCCACCGTCTGGTGCTTTTCTCGTTGCATTTCACTTGTTCTTCCTCCACCTATTCCTATCTCGGCAACATTTGTCGCCCCTGATACCATTTCATACAAATTTTAAGTAATCATTGTCGTTTTTGCGC